AATAGAAAGTATCATAAGGTTTGGTTGTGCAATTTGAACCTTCATAGCTTTTTTTTTTACTCCTCGGTGTGTTGGATTTTAGAAGCTATCATCCTTCAGTCAGGAGGGTGAGGATGATGAGAGCTGAAATCAAACACATTAAAAGATGAGCCTGGAAGATCAGCATAGTCTATCTTAGCACAGCAAGCTCTCCAAGACACAATGTGGGGTGTCTGGAAAAGGAACGGAAGAAAGAGTAGATATAAATTGCAAAAAAGATAGAAAAGGAGTCAGTTTGCAGCTTAAGAGAATAACAGAGTTGGAAGGGACCTTGGAGGTCTTCTAGTCCAACCCCCTGCTCAAGCAGGAGACCCTGGACCATTTTAGACAAACGGTTGTCCAATCTCTTGTCAAAACCTCCAATGTTGGGCCACCTACAACTTCTGGAGTTTAGATAGTTAAGCTCAGCCGAGGTGAGCAGAAAGCTGGAAAGAAGCATTTCAAAGTATTGAAAATCATTTCTCCTTAATGAACTTGCAATAAACAGAATTGAAAAATTCCTATTTTGGTTTCCAAAATTTATTTGGATTTGCAAGAAAGATAACTTATTGAGATCTATGAAGGGGAAAGGACACTGCTCCCTCAGTGACCCTTAAATCCTTAGATCCCGCCAAATGCATGTGCTTTTTACTGCAGAAATAAGATAAGTATGTCATTTTGCTTTGCTTTAGGTTTTTGTTTAATTTGCATTTAATAAACTCTTTGCTACAAATCTCTAAATTCAAAATCACTGTTGCACTTCCTTTCCTTTATTTTTTAATGAGGCTTCTGCTGATGTTTAATGTTCATAACTTTAGCCTCTGGCAAGGAAAGCTTATTTTTTTAAAAAAAACAAACAAACAAACATCAAATTGCAAGCTTTCTTTTTTTTTTCTTTGGCTCTTTTGCAAAAAGCAAAAAAAAAAAAAGGTGTCCAGACAAACACAGTTTGGGGCTGTGTGTTAAGAGAGCCCACAAAAAAAAAAGCACACTTTCCTTCTCCTTGCCACAGATTTGAGCATTTTGTTTGGCTGATCCAGCAGAAAGAATGCTGGCAAGATAAATATCATTATCTTGTAGAGTATGAGAATTTGGGCATTAACTGAAAACTTTCTATATCAACCGTGCTTCCCAGATGGCATTTCAACCAAACTTCTGATAAAGAGAAAGACTGGTATGAAACACCCACAGAGTGGTTAGTTTTCAGAGGAAAATGCAATCTGCATTTTCTTAATCTGTTCCACTTGATTGAAAAGCATTGGTTTTAATGTCCCCCTTTTTTTTTTTTTATTGTTTGGTTTTGAAAGTTGAACGGATTTTCAGGGGTTAGCAGATGGCCCTCGAGTGCAGAGAAATGCCCTCTCTTTCACTTAAGTAACAGCTGCCCAGCCATCTGAAGTTTTTCCCTCTTAAATCCCAAGAGAAGGCCTCACACGAGGAAATTAGTCAACCTTACAGTAATGTGATTTTCTAATACTTACTAACTTCTCCATCCTTTCCTTCAGGGCTGTCGTAATTTCAAATGGTTGCCGAATCGAGGACTATCTGTGTTATATTCGCTACTTCTAGAAATAAAGGCTAGAGAATCACATTTTACATAAGGCAAAGGAATATCTGAGGCAGTCACAAAGGAAAGAGAAGGATTGGAGCCATTTTCCTTAGGCCCCGCACCAACAACCGCAGTTATGCAGAGCAACAGGCTAAGAAGGCTGCTGCTTATAAAAGCAACCAATATTTACAAGGGCTACATCATGCTTTCCTTGATTAACTTCAATGTACGCAGACCACTCCCAGAATTCCTAGCAAGGACCATGCTGGATGGTGAATCCTGGGAATTGGCAGGCACCAAGGAACCCATATCTGCTTTTTGCTTTCAGGAAAATGATGTAAGCTGTACTCTTGGCTGTATGCACGACTTCAGGGTCCGTGTATAAAAGGGAGGGCCAGATTTGTGTTGCAATGGCACAACACTGCTTACATCAGGGGTAGTCAACCTTGGCTCTTTTATGACTCGTGGACTTCAACTCCCAGGATTCCTGAGCCAGCATGGCTGGCTCAGGAATTCTGGGAGTTGAAGTCCACGAGTCATAAAAGAGCCAAGGTTGACTACCCCTGGCTTACATCCATCTCGACTGCCCCGGTTAAACTGCTGCACCTCATCTGCAAGATTGGAAAAATAACTAATGCTTCAGATTAATCAATACTTCTAAATAAGTAGCAGCTTGATACCGAGTTTGGTCTCAGCGACAAGATGCAATGGGTTCCCTCTTTCTTACCAACTTCCTGCTTTGATCTGCAGTCTCCACAGTTTTTTACACACACACACACACACACACACACACACACACACACACACACACCCCTAATCTCAAAAAGGGATTTGAGAAGGTCTTCAAAAAGAAGAAAGCTACAAGCAGCCATTCTTCCTTCCTTCTTTAGCCCTCCCTCCATTCTTTCCTCCCATTCTTCCTTCACCTTCCCTCATTTCCTTGCTTCCTTCCCTTCCTTCCTGGCCCCTCATTTCCCTCCTATCTTAATTCCCCTTCCCCATTCCTTCCTTCCCTCCCTCATTTCCTTCCTTCCTCCCTCCCCATTTTCTTTCTTTCCTCCAGCCTTATTTGCTTCCTTCTTCCTCCCTCCCTTCCCTTATTTCCTTTATTTCCCCCTTTCTTGTTTCCTTCTTCCTTCCTTCCTTCCTTTCCCCCTCCTTCATTTTCTTCCTTCTTCCTTCCTTCATTTTCTTCCTTTTCCTCTCTTTTCCTTCTTTTCCTTCTTCCTTCCTTCCCCCTCTCATTTTCTTCCCTCTTTTCCTTCCCCTTCCCCTATTTCCTTCCTTTCTTCCTTCCCCCTCCCTCATTTCCCTCTTTTTTCTTCCTCCCTCCTCCCTCCCTTCCTTCCCCCCCCCTTGCTTCCTCTCTCCCTCCAAATTCACATTCCTCCATCGCAATTATTTTTCTCTATTAACCTTCCACTGTCCTGTCATAATCATATTTGAACTTTTGTGCCTTGGTTCACTTATCCTTGTCAAGGATCTCCCTCTTTGACCCTGCCCTGGGAAGAAGGACAGGCCACTTGGCCTCTCCGGCACCAAGACCTTTCCCCCATCTCAAAAGGGGGGGTCTGGTGCCCTTTCACCACACCCCTCCCCACAGATGGCTGGAGATGGAGTTTCCATTCCTGAAACAACTGACCTCAGCCCCCCTTTCAGACAAGGTCACCTTGCTAGACCCACCACCACAACTCCCTAGAGGAAACAGGGCCCAGCCTGTTTTCATGGTTTTCAAAGGAAGAGCAGAATTCCACACACCCCAAAATAAACACACCTCATTTCTACCAGCACAACTGCAAGAGCTCCCCGGCAATTAAAATAGGTACAGGCCTGCCCTAGACGAAGCAAGAAAATAGAAGGGTTTGAGATAAAGTGGCTTTCACACCCTACCTATTTTTGGTTTTTTTTTAATTGATGTATTTATTTTTGGCTTGGAGGAAAATACTTAACTGCCCGCCAGCAATATCTAAACAGGAAAACTCTTTTTTTCTCTCTCTCTCTCTCTCTCATTTCCCCCTCCCCATCAGCAGCCCCCCTCCCCAGCAGCACTTTCATTATTGGCCAAGATCAAAGAAAGATTAGCCATTCAGCTGGTTGAAAAGAACCCTCAAAAGATTCACATTTCTCCCATTTTGTACCTAAACTGTCAGAAGCCCATTAATTTATTTTTAGGGGCGGGGGGGGGGGGGGGGGAAATTAAAATAAAATCCAATGATCAAAAGAAGATTTTTGAAATAGAGGAGGGGGTTGACAAGGCCTTTATGGGCATTAAAAGGTGTCGCAACGCTCTGCACATTATTCCTCTTTTACAGAGAACCCAATCTTAATAACTAATTATCCATTGATTACCATATATATTGCCCTGTGTAGTCCTTTGCATGAGTAGCTGATTTGAAACTCTGCAACCTGCAAGAAAATTTGAATTAAGAGGAGGAACAGTCAGCTTTCTCACGCTTCTTAAGAGCCCCCCAAATATGGAAAGGATGGAAGAACTGTTCTATTGACTCAGAACTTCACAGAAAGTGGGATGGTTTGGCTGGGGGGGGGGGGAAATACTCTTATTATTGGACGATCAGACAGAAAGGCAGTGTTTATTTCTAGACGAATGAGACACACCTCAGAATGTAGAGTTCTTACCAACAGAGGAGAATATTTGTAGCTCAGAATATTTGTTATCCCCGTGTAGATATCACTAGCCCCCTCTCTGATACTCTTTCGCAAGGCCCTTGAGGATATATAGTTTTGCCAGCGGGCCTTGGGGTTTTATTTATCTATTTACTTCCTCATTTAAATTTGACTAAAATATAGGTTTTCTTTCCTCCGCAAACTGCCCAGAATCACCGTGAGAGAGTTGAGTGGCCATATAAATTTATAAATAATAAAATAAAATAAAATAAAAAACACCATAAAACTGCCTTGTTTTACGACTCCTCTTAAGATTTCCAGCTGCATACTGCAAAAATCCAGTCAACACCAGAGGGAAGCAAAGCGATGCAGAAAAGGCATGCCTTTACTGCCACCTAGTGTCGGCCTGTGTTTTTTGCAGCTCTGAGACAAGTAAGTAGCCCTGAATTTCCTCCCTTCTCCATTTTTCTGGCCACCGGGTGTGCCTAACAAATTGTAGTCATTATGTTCAAACCTTCATTGTGAAAAGAAGGGGAGGCAGAGCACCCAAAGCCACAGGAACCTTTGATGTTATCTAAAGGAGCAAAGGAAGACGGGTCTTCCTCCCTCCTTCCCACGCTACCTCCATGCATTCATTTGCAGAGGCAGCTGTCTGTTTGGCAAACAGCCAGCTGGAAAGTAGAGGGGTTTTCCTTTTCTCCCACTTACCCTCGCTCAAAAAACTTCTTTCTCCAGTACACAATGCTATTTATAGCTGCTGGCAAGAAACCAGCTTCAGTTCAACCACAAAACCACAGATTTAACTCACGCAGAAACACACTTGTGATAATCGGCTGGCAGCGCAGAGCATAAAGGATGCTTCCTTGGGAATCGGGCTGCCCATCGTCCACCAAAGATACTGCCCATTAAAGAAGGGGGAGGGGTAGAGGGCAACAGAGATTTGTGCCAAGGGCTATGTTCAAAACCTGCGGACTCTTGTCACTGAAATGAAGAATCACCTTTTTTGCCTAATGGTAATACAGGTAATCCTCAACATAGGATCACAATTAAGTCCAAAATTTCCATTGCTGAGCAAGACAGTTGTTAAGTGAGTTGGGACTAGACTAGAAGACCTCCAAGGTCCCTTCTAATCTTAATATTCTATGTCAGGGGTAGGCCACCTTGGCTCTTTTATGACTCGTGGACTTCAACTCCCAGAATTCCTGAGCCAGCATGGCTCAGCTTGGAAACCTCTCCCTTTCCCCTCAGCATGGCTGGCTCAGGAATTCTGGGAGTTGAAGTCCACGAGTCATAAAAGAGCCAAGGTGGCCTACCCCTGTCCTATGTCAGTGTATCTCAACCATGGCAACTTTAAGATAGGTGGACTTCAACTCCCAGAATTCCCCACCAGCCAGTTTGCTGAACTTTTGATAAATGACTGTGCATATGGACCAGAGAAAAGTCACTTTATGGCGCTATTAGCCCAAAAGAATCCAGGAATAAATCTAGGAAGGACAAGGGTTTCTCAGTGGTGGCCCCCCTTGTAGGACAGGATTACAGCTCAGACATGCTCCAAGCTTGCCCCGTGCTAAAGGTTGCCAGATCCTGTTTTACAGCCCTACTTTTTATTTTTGATCAGGCATACTTTATTCTAATTTTGTCCGAGTTATTTTTGTAAGATGGATAGTATATACACGCATTAAATAATCATGAGTAATAAAGATCTTCTGCCAGCCCCACAGAGGAAAGGCGATACAAAGATTGAACAAATAAATCCATCCAGATACATTAAAAAAAAAATGCAGGGCTCTGCTTCTTAAACTGTCAACTTTATTCTGAATGCCAATAAAACTGAGGGTTCCCCTGCATCAGTGAATAAATAAATCTCCCTGAATATCAAAAATAAAAACAAGTGGGGGGAAAAGAAGGCTTTCAAACTTACATCGGAACAGGCTGAATTTAAAATATATTTTTTTCTTTTTCATTCTCCGCTGAGACAGTATTACATCATTTTCCAGTGTGCAACTGGCTTGTTGTACTCCCCTAAAACATTTAACTGGGTTTATACTAAGGGGAAATTGGTTTGTTTGGTTTTAGCTTAAAATTACGTGTATATATATATATATATATATATATATATATATATATATATATATATATATATATATATACACACACACACACACACACACATAGTATATAGGTAATCTTATTAAAACTGCTCAGGGATCACGTGAAGTTATGCTCTATCTCAGAGGTCCCCAACCTTTTGGGCACCAGGGACCGCTTCCATGGAGAGAGGTTTTTCCGCGGACCGGAGGGGGCGTGGTTTTGTGTGCTGCCTGCATCTCGCGGGTGGGGCTTTGCTTATTTGTGCGGACCGGTTGCTGGCATGCCGCGACCTGGTACTGGTCCACGAACTGGGGGTTTGGGACCCCTCCTCTACTTGAAAGAGGGAACTTAGGAACTTGATCTGAAGTTATGATGGTCAAAAGACTGCACCTCAGCTGCTCAGCAATATGGTCACATGTACAGCCGCTGCGTCCTGCTTTATGACCGTTTCCCAAAAAAAACACCGCTATGGCAAAACAGTGCCTTAGTAGTGAAATTAACAACTGCTGCAAAAAAAAAGTTGTAAAATTGGGCTGGACCAGCCTGTTTTATAACCGTTATGACTCACGGCCATAATGGGCAGGCTCCATTATGATCGTAATTTGAGGACTATCTGTACCATGATTTATTATTCAGTCTGTGCTTTCAACAAACCACTGTTTAAATCGTGGTACACAAGCCCTGGCTCTCTAATGAATCCTAAATGTGCTGCTTTGTAATTCATGTTAAATTGTTTCTCCCCCTATTCCCTAGAAGTATCATGCAGAATAAGCAGAATTTACTTCCCGTGATTTATAAAGGCCACAAGATGTTACTTTATTTAGCTTAAAAGGTTGCTCTTCCCTGTCTTATTCAGAAACTCTGAATATAACTTGTAAGGTTGCTTATTCAACACAGAAAGTGTCTGTTGGGCAATTCCGTCTCCCTCTCCGCACATTTTCTACAAGGGATGAGCTCTTCCAAAGGTGATGGTGCGTATGAGCTGTTTCCTATTGTGCGTTGTAATTATTTGTTATAATAGGGAATAAAGGCTTAATTAGCTTCCAAGCTGCAGATATGATTTAATTAACTCTTGCGCTGTATGTAGAGCACCTGTTTAGTTAAAAATCAGCGCCTGCTTATTCTGTTCCGAAAAGAACGACTGGATGGGCACCTTGCAATTGATTGACTGATTTTTTTATTCCACCTTTATTATTTTTATAAATAATCCAAGATCATGTTTAAGGGGGGATTAGAATTCACAATCTCCTAGTGATTGGCCCAAAGTCCCCCAGCCAGCTTTGATGCCTAAGGCAGCACTAGAATTCACAGTCTCCCAGTTTCTAGCCTGGGGCCTTTACATCAAATTGGCTCTGTAAGAACTGAGCAAAAGAAAATATGAAGAAACAAACACAAAAATGATGCTTATTAGAGTGTAGCACACTGTGCTTGGAAGCACGAAGATGCCTGAACTGTTTAAGCAAGAGGAACATGGATTTATAGTCTTGAGGTTGCCCCTTAAAGACTTTTTAGATTTATGCACCCACTAAGAAAGCATAAGTGATAAGAAGCAACATTAACTCCTTTTTAAAATAAGATCTGACTTCCTTCTGAGATAAAGGTGAGCAAGTGATTCATTGCTGATAGTTGTGGGAGGAAAGGAAGGAGAGCTGCAGAATTTAAGCACAACCTTAAGGACTTGACCTCTCCATCTCCCCTTCTTGTTGGGTGGCCATGCTTAAATTAAAAGTCCTATTCTTAGAACTGTGGGACACCTGCAAGGTTTAGCCAGAATAAACAAAATTTAAAAGCACCATGCAGACTTCCCAGCTCTGCCAACTATCATTGACAGAGACTTTTCCTAAATTAATGCACTTCCAAGGCTTATAAAACAACTCAAGACTATCAGTGCAATTCTGAGCATGTTAGGTGAGTGGATTTGAAGAGGGCCAATGATGGACCGAACTTGTGCATATGCTGAATAAGTAGGCCGATGTGGCCCACAAGTCTACCTGGGACAAACTATGATCTGAAATCTCCATTCAAGTCCCTTCCAATGCAGCATCTCTATAAGAGAGTGGTTCACAAACTTTGAGCTCCTTTGAATCCTTAGATTGATAGGGAACTCCTGTTCTGTCTAGATAGGCTTGGGTTACCCTCCTATAGCTGCAGGGTTCTGCTAGTCCACCCTTCTTTCAGAAGTGGGCCTTCCTATGCTTGTGGACTTCAACTCCCAGAATTCCTCAGCCAGCGTGCCTGGCTGAGGAATTCTGGGAGTTGAAGTCCACAAGTCATAAAAGGGCCAAGTTTGAAGACCCCTGGTCTACTTGTTCAGCTTATGAACAGTATCTATCAATAATTGGCTGCTGCACATCTGCCATATTTGGGAATGGAGTCAGGAAAGACCGTCATTAAGTGAATCCAGCTCCCTCCATTAACTTTACTTGTCGGAAGCTGGCAGGGAAGGTTGCAAATGTTGATCACATGACCCAGGACACTTCATTTGTCAAAAATACACATCAGTTGCGAAGCGCCTGACTTTTACGTGGGGATGCTGCGATGCTCATTAAACGCAAGAAACTGGTTGTAAGTCACTTTTTTCAGTGTTTGTAACTCTGAATGGTCGCTAAATGAATGGCTGTAAGTTGAGGACTACCTATATTCTTTTTGCCATTGTTTAAAGAGTACATCACTTGGTCAGAACAGGTATTATCTGAAAAAAAAACCACACACATCTTTCTAGGTAAGATATTCATGATTATCACATAAATTCTCCCCCACAGTGACAGTTTTAATTTCTCCCATCTTAACATGTCCTTCTTAATTTCATTTCATGTCTTAATATAATTAATTCAGGGCTTCGTGATTTTTAGTTTAGCACAGGGGTAGGGAACCTCGGCTCTTTTATGACTGGTGGACTTCAATTCCCAGAATTCCTGAGCCAGCCATGCTGAGGGAACAGGGAGAGGTTTCCAAGCTGAGCCATGCTGGCTCAGGAATTCTGGGAGTTGAAGTCCACGAGTCATAAAAAGAGCCAAGGTTGCCTACTCCTGGTCTAACACCTTAACCACTGGGTAAACTGGTTCTGTAATGGTTCTTGCCTATTTTTCTCCAGGTTATCTCCCTGATACTCTACACCAGAGTTCTTCAAACTTGGCAACTTGAAGATACTTTTATATGGACTTCAACCCTCTGAATTCCCAGCCAACCTGGCTAGCCGGGGAATTCTGGGAGTTGAAGTCCTACTACCTTCAAATTGCCAAGTTTGAAAACTACTGTTCTACATCCACATACAAGACTCTTATACCTGTTCATTTGCATATAATAACATCCCATCCAAGGTACAGCTTTTCAAAATTAAAAGTGTCGATTTTACCTTACTATAGAATTAGAGAAATGATTATTTTTGAGAAGAGAAAAGAGGATCTCCTGAATATTTACCATACTTCCTCCAAATACTTTCAGGATTTACATGCATTTTTTCCCCCTCGTTCAGTAACCAAATGTTTGCAAACCAAATTCTCACCTTCAAACCCAAAGCTGGCTAAACCATTAACCCCATTAAAAAAAAGAGAGAAAGAATAAGTTACCAACCACTTACAATTTTATTCCATTAAAAAAAAAAAGGATGGTAGGTGGTTTTCATTAAATGAGAAGTTTTGGAGAATGCGCCAAATTCTTCCCCGCCAGCTGGAGGGAAGGGGCACCCGCCAGCTGGAGGGAAGGGGCAAGTTCTAAGAAATGACGTTGTTAGAAGAGTTTGCTAACTTTCCCTCAACTGACAAGTCGGTTGTTTTCATTTCGGCAGGCTGCACAGTCACCCACAGGAGAGAACATACAAAAGAAGCTTCTTATAAACCCCTTTCATGGGATAGTTCTATTGACATGGCAGCCCTGAAAACTCCCAAGCCAATTTGAAATTTAAATAGCATTCTTCTGTTCCTCTGTTACTATAGTCAATTGCAAGCGCACACACGCGCACGCACATACACACACACACATACACACACACACACCCCTCAGCTATTTTCGCTGTACAACCTTCTTCCCCACCTCCCACCCCACCCCAATTCCTCTCCATACACAACGGCAGCAGAACTGAATGGGTCACAGGGCAATGGATAGCTAGCAGCAAAGCGTTGCCATTTATACAAATGCATATTACCCTCCATGGGAGCACCAGGTGTTTAGCCATGTTTCCCACACACCCTCACCCCGAGCCACACACCCTTTTTGTTTCTTTTACAAAGGGAGCTAGACGCCTTCTCTCTTGCAGTTGGTTTGCAAGCTGCCCGCGCCCCCCCACCCAATGTGCACCCTCTTTTAAAAAAAATCTGGAGGCTCCTTTAAAAAAAAAACAATCACAAATCTCACTTTCCTAAGTGGTGGGGAGATAAATCCAACCCAAGAATGTAGGTACGATTTCTCACCACTGTGCAAACATTGGGAAGCTGCATAGCAGGGGCCCTTTCTGGCTGCTAATATACAAAAATGCGGAGCAATTCCCACTAGTGAATCCGTGCGAAAGGGATAGGGCTTTAGTTCTCTTTCCTTTGCACCCCAAATCCCCCATACCTCAACTTGTCTACTACTTCCTGCAGCTGGCTATCTCTGCATTTCATACAATTTTTTTACAGCTTTGCTTCAAGGAGTCCAAAATCAACAAGGGGTGTGTGCTGGAGTCCAAAGGTCATTGGTTTTAGGGCTGTCGAAGCTGTGTTTGCAAACACTTACCAGCAGGGGGACCACTAAACACTGGCTGAAATATTAGCCTTCAATGTAATCAATGAGCCTATTAAACAAAGGAAATTAACAATACATCTCTGGATGGAAAGCAATACATTATTCATTAGTGTGTAGCAGCAGTGCCCCCAGGCCATATTTGGGGCCAATTTCCACATGACATTTCCATTCAAAACAGGCACTTGCGTACAGCTGATAGTACAGCTGATAGGGTAGCCTCTTTGGTGTTAAAAGGAGGGACAGACCAGGAATATTTTATAAGACAATAAGGATTTTTTTTCTATATTGAGGAAAGAAAAGAAAGCAATATGCTAGCTACCTGAGGCCTTCGGGACACGGAAGGAGGCGTGGGTTAATGGTAAAGCATGCACTTCCTACTGTATGTCATAAATCTCAGGTTTGATTCCTAATATCTCCACAAGAAGCTGGTTGGTGGGACCCACAAGATGTCCAGCCGGCCTGCATGAATTGGACAGGTAGAAATACCTAGGAGAAGACTGGTCCTTAATTTGAGATGGTCTTATCTACCACCCCACAAAGCAACACTAGGCTTGTAATCTCAGCCAGCTCCAAATTTTGTTTATCACAAAGGCAAGCTGTTCTGGCAATGCAAAAAAACCATCAGAGGTGGGTCCAACCTATCTGTGTGTGTGTGTGTGTGTGTGTGTGTGTGTGTGTGTGTGTGTGTGTAAGTAAAGGGATAAATGTGCTATCCACTTTGGGGGGAGTTGGGGAGGGAAAAATATTTTAAGGCATTACAGAATTCCTAGTTTGCTCCGATTGTGCAATCTGACAGCTGGCCAAACAAACTGTTCTTGCAACATGAAGGCCTTTATCCAAATACAGATTTTTTTTTTCACTCCTGCTT